TTTCAAATACAAAATATCTAACTTATATTAAATAAAATAAGCCTCATAGTTAATGCAGTAGCAATGCTAGAATTCTTCCGGTCCAGAAAACCGTCGGGAATTCCCGATTTTCGGAAATTCCTTGTTGGTCTTTGTCGGGGATCGATGTTTGACTTTGAGACTAGGAGATATGATCTGTTATAAACCAATCAAATAAATGTAATGGAAGGTAAATACGAGGGATTAGGACTTATTACTTAAACAAATATTCTGTCGACATAAAAAAGAATTCCCGATTCGAGAATTGAAGGTTCCGACCCAAAAATGTTGGGAATTTTCGATTTTTTGGAATATGATAGATGTCTAACAATGTCAAGAATCGAGATCTCGAAAATAATCTCAACATAGATTTTTTTAATAATTATTAGTTAAAATTAACTGTTATTTTATTTTATAAAAAATACACAAATCAATTTTAGCTTTTTTAAAAGACCAATTTTAGTTTGAATTTATTGATACATTTTTGTTTGCATAAAAATTTTATTTGAATCTGAGAAAACCCCACATTTTACCGCAGCCAAGACCTTACCTCCCTAATCATTAACCACTTTTAATAAAAAACTTTGTTGCCCTTCGATTCCTGCGGTAAAATGGAATCATTCGAAAATCAAATTTAGCTCGCTACTTATGCCATCGTCATAAAAATTTAATTTTAATAGCAAAAAAATTGGATTCGAATATCTAAAAATTATAATACTTCAAACTACAGCATTGGAATAAAATGATGGTTAAATTTTGACAATCTATTCAATTTTACAACAAATATCTAACTTATGTTAAATAAAATAAGCCTCATAGTTAATGCACTTTTTTAGCGTCGGCGCTAAAATTTAAAGAATTTTGGAAGGCCAGAAGCCAGATTTCTTCCAATTTTACTCTATTTTATATCTCAGAAATTTAAATAAAATTTTTCAGAAAATTAATTAAATGGCTTCTACAAAAAATATTTTTATTGTTCCTTTCTTGTTTTTAAATTTATTTTTATTATTTCAATTAAATATTTCAATTAGACTTTGTGTTTACGAAGAATGTACAAGTAATAGTGATTGCTGTTCTGGGTTTGTCTGTAGATTTCAGGCAACTGATAAGAGCACTTGTAAACGTACAAGTGACAGCAAATGTATAGAGAAGAATTATTATCATTGTGACAATCAAGCCAATAAATGCTGTCCCGGATTAAATTGTAAAACTGATTATATAGGCCGTTCGTTTTGTCGACCTTACAACTGTGTTAAAGAAAATGGGGCTTGCGATCTTGATAATAAGCAATGCTGTTATGGATTTTATTGCAATAAGAATAAGTGTACAAAGTGCAAATCTATGTCACATGATCAATACCGCTTATGCGAATACTAATTGATTTTAAATATAAATTTAAACAAATTTACTATTATATATTTTTTAATTTTCTTAATAATTCATCAAAAATTTTACATGACTTCCCTCAAAAATAAGCTTTGCTCCCCCTATGGTTTTTCAACTTTGGGGTACTGTATCTCGGCTCACAATTTAATCAACAGGCTAATTTTGACGTTGTTCGACTCAGCTCTACGAGTTGAATAAAATAATCAAATTTTCCGTAATTAATTACTTATGTTTTCTGGCATTTTGTAAGGCAATTTTAATTGTAAATTCTAAAAATAAATCTTAAAAATTTCTGTCAAGAAATATACTTTCCTTTTTAATTTGATCTAGAATTAACCTAACTTTTTTTTCTTCTTTTTCATTCTAAAAATTAAGAAATTGTAATTTTATATGAATAAAATTTTGATTTTTGTATTAGAAAATTAGAAATGATATACATTCCAGACTTCGGGAATCGGGAATTCCCTAATTTTTTCCAAGTTCCGATTTTCGGGAAATCGGGATCCCGGACCAAAAAACCTCGGGAATTCCCGATTTTGGGAAATTCCTTGTTGGTTTTTGTCGGGGGTCGATGTTGGATATTGAGACTAATTATAAAGACATGACCTGATATAAACCAATCAATTAAATGTAATGGAAGGTAAACCATAAATATACGAGGGATTAGGACTTATTAGGTCAGAATTTGGGGATTAACAGTGATATTGAGGTTCTCTGCATTATTAAGAGATATATAGCAAATAAGAAGGATATCAAAGGAAGGTATCAAATTTTTGAGAGGTTATAACTTTCATGTAGTCATTCAAGTAAAGCGATTGGAGGTAATTAAAAGAATATTCGGAGGTAGGGTTGTCGGTTCTGAACCGAAGTGAAGAACCGAGATTTTTCGGAAATTTAATTTTGCCATTCTAGCCTTTCCTTTACTTATATTGACAGCAGGGCTGGGCGAAATCTAAAAATAAAAATCGAAATGCGAAACTTTTCGCGCGAAAAACACGAAGATGCGAAATAAGCCCAGCCCTGATTGACAGCAGAAAAATAGGCCCTATCCCTCGAAATTTCGGAAAGTTATAGCCAATTTTTAAAAATTTCAGAAAAACGATTATAACAAAGGAATGAATTGCCCCAGACCGAGTAGACGAAGGTCCCGAACATGATAAAAAGTTTTGGAACCATACCCCAACTTTGCAATATCCGGAAAAATCTAATTTTCTGTTGAATGGACGCCTAAAAGTTCACTGAACGCATAAACTAGGCAGCCGAAATTTCTGCCAACAATGTGTTTACTCCCGCTATGGTTTTCGATTTTCGGGGACCTATATCTCTGTTCACTGGCATTTCCATGAATAGAGAGTGACTCAGTGTTCCTATCGAAATTTTGCCTTCAGTATACCATACTAAGGATGTCGGTTCCTGGGAAATTTCCGGATACCCTGAACTGCCAACCTTATACCATACCAGGGTTGCCGCCCGAAACCCGAAACCCGGCCTTTTTTTTAACCGAAAACCGATACCTGTACCCGATATTTTTGCCAACCCGAAACCCGTGACCCGAAATGAAAACGCTCCAACCCGATACCCGAAACCCGTACCCGAAGATTTTTTGTACCCGCGGCAACCCTGTACCATACTAAATCCAAATAAAATTTCTATTTTTTTATTTTAATATTTTGATCGGGAAAAGCCAAAAGCTTTATAAAATTCAAAAAATTATTAAATTTTACAAAATCAATTTTTTAAAATTAAAACAAACAACAAAAAATATATTATTTTGTTTTTGCATTCCTTTTGTGAATTTGTAAGTAAACAAATCAGCCTTTATTTTTCTTTTAATTTTCCAAATTTAGCATTCCAATATTGTTTATTTAAATAAAAATTTATTTGTTCAAGAATAACCGATCAACTTTTACCCACATTTTGTACTTATTTGTACGGATTTATACTGATCTATACTTAATTTTACTCAAAAATCTTTGCTTTGTAAATTGGAAAAACCCCCAAAAGTCATATTGCTCCTTATATAAAATTTTATATAAAATGCTTTTAAGCTTTTACCTATACTTATCATTTTAAGCATTTAATTAAAATAATAAAACAATTACATTTCTTTCTCCTTATTACGTTTCTAATACTCTAACACGAACAGGGCTGTAACGTGTAATGAAAAACACACACGGGTAGCGTGTCGGATTTTTAAAATCTTCTTTGAATTAGGCTTCGGGTACAAAAAAGAAGGCTATCTGGTTTCGGGTAAACTGTCCCAACCAGTGATGAAAAAGTTCCAAAATTTCTTTGGAACCGATTCCAGTTTTGAAACTGCCTTTGAATTTCTTCGGTTACAGTTCTGGAACTGTATCGGTTCCGGAACTGGAACTTTTCCATCACTGGTCCCAACACTGATCCAGAACACATGACGTCCACTCGAACCCCGTCATTATTTTAGAACAAAAGTATTCTTAATCCCATTGATTCTTCCTTCCTTATATTCACAATTGACTCTTGTCTTCACCTAATTCAGCCTGGGTTTCGATTTTTTTTTGATAAAATAACGGGAAAAAGTGATACATATCAATATATTTTTTAGAAATAAAAATTAATTAAATGGCTTCTTTAAATAATATTTTTCTTGTTCAATTTTTATTTTTAAATTTATTTATATTATTTAAACCAATTAATTGCAAATGTGTTGCAAAAGACGTAAATGACTGTGACAATAAAAACAATAAATGCTGTCGTGGTCTAAATTGTATAATTGATGGTGTTGGCGCTTCAATTTGTGAACCTTCCAGTTGTATTAATACACGTGGTGCACCCTGCGATGCATCACAAGCTGGGAAGCAGTGTTGTTTGGGATATTTTTGTTCTCTCGCAGATAAAAAATGTCACATGTGTTTGCAGATAAACGATCCATGCAATAATTCTGGAAATAAATTTAAATGTTGTAAAGGCTTGCGTTGTAGTTTTACTGGAGCAATAGGAGATGGCGTTTGCATTAAAAATTAGAATTGAAGAAATTTTGAAGAAATTCTATTCTTTCCTTCTTTTTTCTTCTAAATTAATTTAAAAACATAACTTTTCTTTTTCCTTCGGGATTTTCAGCTAATTTTTAAGAATAATTTTAATCACCAATTTATTCACACCGCGGATTCCGAGCTGTTATCGGACCGCAAAATTTATTTGTTAATTAAATAAATCTTTCTTCTTTGGTGTGTATTTTTGGTGTGTGTATTTTTGGGGATTTTTGGGTACACTCTGTCCCAAAAATAAACATCCACCTATATTTTTGTCATAAGTCAGTAATTTGTGAAAGGATTTGAATGAAAATTTAAAATATAATGCAAAAAAACATTAAAAACTATATTTAAAAATTTTAAAAAATTCTAATAATGCAATCAAAATTTGCAACTATTTTTCTGTAAAATAGGTGTCACATAAATATACATCCACCTTCCAAAAAAGTTATTTCCAACGATAGGAAAAATCTACAAAAATTCCAGTAAACTTATATATTGATATCATAAAAAAATAAAAAGAATGTAGGTCCATATCTTTACCCTAAGCCGAGATCCTGAGACCTCGAACAGGGGTTTTCAATTAAGAAAGAAATTATATTACGATGTTCAATATATGGAAGGAAGGGACCCAAGGAAGGACCCATCATGGAAGGGGCCCAAACCAAAGCACAACTGACTGTGCCACCATTCAACCCGACGATTGGTTATTTATTTTCATTTATGTTCTTTCTGCAAGTGCGGACACAACAGTAGGGGTATCTGATTATTTAGAGGGATATAGTGGTTTTTCGGGGATTAAGGGGATTTGAATGGATATAGGTGGATTAAGGGTGATATAGTTAGATTTGCTTGTACAAAAATCAAAATTTTATTCAAATATTATAATTTCTTAATAATACTGTAATTCACAATTTTTGGGAAAAAAAGGAATTATCAAAAAAATTTAAGTTGTAATTTTAAATAATTGTTAATCAAGAAAAGAAAAATGAAGATAGTATACCGTATTTACTCGATTAATTCCCCTCTCTCAAATACCCCTCAAACAATACATAATCCCCTCACTTAAATACCACTCAAACAATAATCCCCCTCCCCCAAATACCCTACTATACGTTCAAATTTCAAAACTCGAATAATTCCCCTTCCTTAAATAATTCCCATGCCACGGATGGGTTGAAAAAAAATTCCCCAGGGGAATTAATCGAGTAAATACGGTAGTTTGACAGAAATTTTCAGCTTTATTTAATTTTGAAATCATTCAGTTTGACACACATGGTTGTTGATAGATGTGCACGGTACACATTTGTGATTATGGCATTGAAATCCATAACAGCATGGGTTAGTATCAATATTGCAAGCCCCGTCCTTAATACCACAGTTGTAGGGTCGGCAAAAGGAACGGCCTATATAATCAGTTTTACAATTTAAACCTCCACAGCATTTATTGTCTTTATTGTCACAATTATAATAATTCTTCTCTATACAGCTGCTTTTTCTACATTTACTAGTACCAGGATCCGAAAATCTACAAAACAATCCAAGTTTAGCACAGCAATCATCATTGCTTTTACATTCTTGACCAGCTAATTTACAAAGCTTAATTGAATTGTTTAATTGAAATAATAAAAATAAATTTAAAAACAAGAAAGGAATAAGAAAAATATTTTTTGTAGAAGCCATTTAATTAATTTTCTGAAAATTCTTAAATTTCTGAAAGATAAAATATATTTGCTGCTGCGAATCTATGGAATTAAAAATAATTTGGATTTTTAATTAATAGTTAAAAAGTTGTAAAATGTCGGATCCGATTTACATTAAAAAAATTTTTTTTCGGATCGGAGTTTTCGGAGCAAATTCCGTATTCGATGGATATTGAAATTTTAATGGATTAAGAAGGATATCGGGGGATTAAGATTAATAATGAGGTATGTGGATGGGTTAAGAGAGATTAAATGGATTAAGAGGGATATTTCATTAATTTTCTGAAATAAGATTAGTTTTATTATGGGCAAGGTTACCTTCTAAATCCTCCCTACCCCGAGATCCATCTAAATCATAAGATAAACTTCCTAGTCCCTCCAAATCCCCTGATCTCTTGGATTTCCAGATAGGATAATGGAAACGTATAAAAAGATGCTTGTATGTATTTGGAGACGTTTTATTTCTAATATTTTGGGCATTAATTGAAATGATGTATGTAATGATATATGTATTGCTAGACTTTACCAGCATTTTATATTAAGCCGCTATAAGGCGTAAGGCTAAGAGTAATCTCAATCTACAAACTACTATTGAGTTTTAAATGAATATAATTAATTTGAGAATGGTTACCACTTAGCGAAGTCGGGAAAATTGAATAAAATTATGAGGTAAAAGTTGGCTTTGCGGTAATTTTGGAGGTATAATTCATTAAATAAATGCAAACAAAAAGGATTGGAAATCCACGTTTAGAATTTTGTTAATGAATGCGTACGTTTCCGCCGTAAATCCACATCTACCTGTTAAGTGACTTTTGATTTATTTATATTATTATTATTTTTTTACAAGCGGGAAATTTAAACACTAGTGACCTAAAACAAGGGTTGTTGAGGGTCATCAAGAGGGATATCGAAGGTTTGGAAAAATATTGAGAGATATTGGAATTTTGATGGATTAAGAAGTATATAGGGGGATTAAGAAGGATATAGGGGAATTAAGAGGAATTAAGAGCGATATTGGAGATTTGGAAGATTTTCGGATTGCTAAACTTTACCAGTATTTTAAATAATGCTTGAAGGAGTAATGTGACTTTTGATTTTGCCAATTTACAAACTACAACTGATTTTTAAATAAATAATTTTTAACAAATAATTATAAATAAGTATAAAGATTTGGGGAAAGTTGGGGGGGGGGTAGTCATTGGACAAATAAATGTTTATATTAATGCAGTAGAAATCTAAATTTGGAAGGATAAAAAAAGGAATATTTTGAATAAATAGGTACATTTTTAATTAAAATCACAAGAAATTTTTTAAAATAAAAAAATACTTTGTTGTTCGTTTTATTTAATTTTCTTGTGATTTTAAGTAAAAATGTACCCATTTATTCAAAATATTCCTTTATTTTACCCTTCTAAATTTAGATTTCTACTGCATTAATATTAAATTTTATTTGTTCAATGTTTATTCCCCAACTTTCCCCCAAATTTTTATACTTATTTATAATTATTTGTTAAAAATTATTTAATTTTTAAATCAGTTGTAGTTTGTAAATTGGCAAAATCAAAAGTCACTTTTATTCTTGAGGTTATATAAAATGCCTGTAAAGTTAAGCAATAAATATATCAATTTAATTACCATTTAAGATATTATTAAATAATAATACAGTACTTATTACGTTTTCAAAACCCGGTTCTTCTCGAGATTCATCTATTTATCTAAAGAATAATTCGATAAAATAACCAAATTATTTTTAATCCCATAGAGCCTCTTTTCTTATAACCTGAGGTTGGTTATTCTTAATCCATTAAAATTATAATATATTCCAAACCATCGATATCCTCTTAATGCCCCTCAACAACCCTTGTTTGAGGTCACTATAGTAAAGCAGCTGGGCTATAGCTATTTCTCTCCTTTAGCTAGTGCAAAAGGTTATTCGGCGGCTGGGAGCGAACCAGCATCATCACTAGACCTGACTGATGTGTTAACCATTACACCACGCCGCCTACTGAATAGCCTTAGGAAATGAATAGCTATATGCTTTACACTATGTTTATAGTATTTCCCGCTATTTGCTAAATTCCATAATAATTTATATAACTTTTCCGAAATTTTTATTAAGATTTTTTTTGAAAATAATTGATCCGCATCCGGCTTCAAAAATTCGGATTTCAGGGTTAATTCGAAAAATCAGGTTCGAATAAAAAAAATTTTTTTGATTCGTAAATCGGATCCGACATTTTACAACTTTTAAACTTAATTTAAAAAATACAGTCAAAAATATTAAGAATAAATTAGAAAACCATACAAATTATTTTTAATTCTATAGATTCAAAGCAGCATAAATATTTTTTATCTTTCAGAAATTTAAATAAAATTTTCAGAAAATTATTTAAATGGCTTCTTCAAATAATATTTTTCTTATTCCTTTTTTGTTTTTAAATTTATTTTTATTATTTCAATTAATTAATTGTGAATGTCATAATCCTCCAAAGTGTCTCGTCAATGGACAGTGCTGTCCTGGTTGGTTTTGTAGATTTCCGAAATATAGTTTTTGGGGGATCTGTGAGAAAAGCAAGTGCATAATGAAGAATTATTTTTATTGTGACAATGAAGACAGAAAATGCTGTCCCGGATTAAATTGTAAAACTGATAATAACACCAGATCAATTTGTCGACCTTACAACTGTATTAAAAAAGGTGGGGATTGCGATAGAGATGATACAAAGAATAAACAATGCTGTTATGGATTTTATTGTAATGGAATCAATAAATGTGAAAAGAATTTTGAACCATATCTTTTATAATTAATTTTAAAAATAATCAAGCAAATCTAAGAAATTTCTGTCAAACTAGACTATCCTTTTTTTGTTTTCTTATTTAATAATTTATCAAAATTAACTTGACTTTTTGCTTTCTTTTTAATTAAAAAATCGGGAACTACATTCGATAAAGAAATTGTGACTTTATATGGATAAAATTTTGAAATTTTGTATTAGTAACTGTTTAAGATGATTTCATTAGAAATTGTTTTAATTTAAAACTAAGCGTATTAAAAATATATTATCAAGTGGGAAATTCGGAAAAAATATACCGTCATTTTCTCGATTAATTCCCCTCTCGATTAATTCCCCTCTCGATTAATTCCCCATGCTAGAGTTGGGTTTAAACAATAATTCCCCACCCCTAAATACCCTACTGCACGTTCAAATGCCAAAACTCGAATAATTCCCCTCCTTCGATTAATTCCCCATGCCAAGGAAGGGTTGAAAAAATAATTCCCCCCAGAGGAATTAATCGAGAAAATACGGTAAAGAATTATGTGAAGAAAGCGCATAAAATTCAGATTTACCGGTGTAAGGAAAATTCTTTAAATTATCTCACCAAAGAAAAATTTTCCTGGTTTATTGGCAAAAGTTTTAGCTTAACTAAATTTTATTTTAGAATTTGTGTTTATTCAAAATTTTATTTTACCAATTTTAATTTAGTTCCCGATATCATCTGTTTACCTAAAAATTTATTTATTCAGGATACCCCCCCTCCTCCTTTTTTCGCAAATCCAACTTTTTACCTTCTAACTTTCATCTCCACCTCCGAGACAAATACAATTATTTAATTGAAATAATAAAAATTAATTTAAAAGCAAGAAAGGAATAGGAAAAATATTTTTTGAAGCCATTTAATTAATTTTCTGAATCTAAAAAAATTGCCTTCAAAATGTTAAAAATTTTTATTAAAATTATGTGTTTGTCTTGGATTTTTTGTTCTAAATAGATAAATTATTTCTTTCTTTTTAAATTTAACATCCCTTTTAATCATTAAAATCAATCTCTCGCGTCAAATTTGTAATAAAATTTTATTTACGTATTCAAACAAATAAACTTTTTTGAAATAAAATTGAACTAGTGAATTTAACGAATAAGGAACTAATAAAATTTCCTTAGTAATCACAACTTATCGAATCAAAATATTTTTTTTATTTTTAATTTAAAAATTGGTTTTTTGACGAAATTTTTAAAAATTAAATAATAAAATTTATCTTATCAATTAATAAAATTTTTTAATTTTTCAAAATTATAATGAATTCAACTCCTCTAAGGGTGGGTATTTTA